TATTATTATTATTAAATAAAAAAATTTAATCTGTATAAAAAAGTATTCACCCTGTCGTCTTCTGCTGTCGATACAGCTGAGCTTGCTCTGTAAATATATGAACTGCTGCTGCTGCTGCTGCTGCTGCTGCTGCTGCAGCTGCAGCAGCAGCAAATCCTAGTGGGTGACGTCACAGCAGCAGAAGTTTATGAAGAGATTCAAACAATACAAAATATAAACAAAATTATTTTTAATTATGCATAAAAGAAACGAAGTTAAACACTTTATACGGAGATCAGAGGGGGACGGAAACAGAAGACCAGCGGCGTGGTTGGGTTGGTTTAGGTGTAGAAGCACGACGAGAAAAGAGGAAATAATTAAAATATTATAAATTTTAAAATATATTTACATATATAAAGAGAAATAAAAAACAAAAGTTTAAAATATTTTTTCTTTTTTTCTGCTTTCTTGTTTCTCGCAGTGTCTGTACACCTCAAGTTGAACGAGAAAGCGTTATATATATATATACAGCTTTCCTCTTAATAAGGGGTTTCTCGGTGCAGAAAGCAGCAAAAAATTCATGAATTTAAGAATATAATAAAATAATATTTAAATTATATTTATAAATTGTTTCTTTTCTTTTTAAATATTACTTTTTTTTACGATATATATATATATATATATATATATGGGGGCGCAGACGAAAGCTGCATATGGATGGCGGTGGTGTGGTGGTGTGGTGGCTTCGATATATGAACACATGAGCTAGCGCTGCTATTGTTTGTGTGGTTTCTTGTATTTCTTTGTAAGGAATTTTCTTTTTTTTTTTTAATTTTATTCATTTCCTTTTATATTCTTCCTTTATTTCACTATTTTCATGCAGCTTTCCACCTGATCACCGCGGAAAGCACAGAAACACAACAAGCCCACCGGCTCGAAACCTGAAACCAACCGCAGCTGCTGCAGCTGACGATCCAGCATATTTTTCTTCTTTTTCTCTGCATATAGAGGTAAATTTAAGTTTATTTAGTTTATTTATAACCACTAAGTTTAATATATTTTATATACTTTCAACCGCAGCAGCCCACTGCCGACGTGAAGAAGGCTGAAATCTCAGTATCACCATCACCATAGATGAATATATACTGAGTTTCTGTTGCATGCATGTTTAATATATAAGTTTATATGTGTATATATAGGTTTTATATTATATTTTTTTTAATTAATATTATTTTTTTTTGAGTAAATATCTGATTTTCTTTATGTGTGTTTGTGTGCTGTGTATCCATCCAGCTACAGCTTTCTTTTTCTTTCTTTTTGTAGTTTTTTTTTTCTTTTTTTTCTGCAATGGCGACCCTATACGATGCTCTTTCTATCGAGCTTATTCAACAAGCAGCTCAACGTCATGGGGGATGCAGAGAAGACACCACAGTGCATGCAGCAACCCCGTATGTACACCCCCCGGTACTGCATTTTCCTACTTCTTATAGCATCCTTACAGGTTTGTCTTTATTCATACAAATATAATTCTTCTCTAGTCGATGCTGTTGCTGCTGCTGTTGCTGCTGCCGCTGCTGCTGCTGCTGCTGCTGCTGTTGTTGGTACTATCCAGTTTTTGCTGCTGCGGCAGTTATAAAATTTACACATGTATACATATATGCATCTATATATATATATATATATATATATATATATATATATATATATTTTTTTTTTTCTTTT